AATCAATACTAGTCTCGCAGCAATACCCGATATGTTTACGTCAAGTGTAATATTTACTGTTGTTATTGCTGTTCTAATCAATTGCCGTGGTAAGTCCATATCCTATGAAAGCGGTATTATTCCTCATTGTATATTGCTGTTCATACAGCATCAGTGCCCGATGAATCATTAGTCAACCATGTTTTCTTATCTAACGATCCATTCGATGATGATTTTACAAAAGCCATTGTGCATATGGATAGAACACAACTGAAAAATATACGCATAATGAATGAACAAGAATTTATGATTTACCTCAATAGTGATAATAAAACAATAAATAGTAAGAAGTTATATTACGTCTTTACCTACGGGGAAATCAACACTATGTCTTTATTGTTCAGGTTTGGTACGTATGGGAAATCCTACTGCAACCATCTTTGATAATAACAAAATAGATGATCAGTTGATCGGTCAATCAGAAATTGATCAACAATGGGAAGATTTAGTTGTTTCTGGACCATTGGTTATAAATTATATTGGTAATTTAATGGTTATTGCTAGTAAACGTGATTTTCCATTTAAACCACAAAATGTTAATCACGTTTATAAATATATTCGGTATCCACAGTCCTTTCGTACAACATTCATACAGCTGGCTAATGATATGTATAATGCATTTTTAGTTGCTCATACTAGTATGGATCGTATACAATTGAATATGGAACAAGTACCAAGACATATAAAAACAACATTAAAGTTATTAACAACGGCACCACCTACACTAATTTCGTCATTACTACCATTGTCAATATCAAGTATTGAACATATAGCTACTAACTGTGCTCTATTAGCTAATTCAACTGTTGCGAAATTTACTTATTTAAAAGATGTTTTACAAGAAATCATTGAAGTTAGTCATGTTACAATAGGTACCAACGAAAATATTTTACATGAATTAGAAGTATTATATGATCAATCAGTTCAACAACAACAATTAACTAATAATGCCATACAAGGGATTAAACAAAAATATGAAGAAGCAAAACAAATTTTACAACAAGCTCAAAACGATTATTCACAAGCTTATCATGCTATACCAACTACAAGAGGATTATTCAGTTCGATCGGCAAGATTGTTAAAAGGGCTTTTTCTGTTATTACTGCTCCATTCAAAATTCTCGGATGTCTTTTCGGACTTTGTGTTGTTGATAATACAACAGCTGATAATACAGCAGTTGATAATACAGCAGTTGATAATACAGCAGAAAATGCTAGAAAAACAGCTCAGTTAGCATTAGATCGATTGAAAGAAGCGGAAAAACATTATGATAATTATTATACACAGTTGCTAGCAGAACAAAACAAAGTAGTTAGTATCATCAATAGTATGACTAGATTAGATTTAAGTAAAGTTGATACAGAAGAATTAATTAGTATATTATATGATGCAGCAAGACAAATTATTCTGATTATTTCTGAGTGGGATAAATTACTAAGGTTTTTTACAAAACTATCAACACAAGCCGATCAAACACAAAACGTGATTCTGAATGAATTTGTTAAACAAATACAATCTGTACAAGAACAAAATTTATTAGTAGATGATGCTATGCGAGAATTTTTTGTACAATTATTAATAGAACCGGCTGATTTAATTGATCGTGAATCACATTTGCTTTATTTAATGTCAAAAACTTATTATGATGTATCAAACGACTATATGATGGATAAATTAGCCAGTTTATCAACATTACTCTTGATACAACATGATAATGAGCGTCAACGATTATTAGAACAAATAGCTAACGATACAACAACCACATCAGCTAAAGTATCGAGATTAGCATTTGGACGTCGACAAGAATATCAACAACGTAATAAAGCAAGACAACAAGAATATAGTCATTTTATTGAACAACAACTACAATAGAACCTGATATGAGTGAAAGTGAAACACCATTTTTTACATCATAAAACATATAACATTTCAAATTAATAAATAGATATATAATTGAAATCATACTTTCAGCGTTTAGTTAACTATTAAATTGTGAGAATGAACAAGGACTTTTGCTATGAAAAGTTATGAACAGATAGTTTTACCAGCTGATAAACAAAGAGAAGAAGAAAACAGATTTGCTTCGGATGAAATAAAATTTCGATTATCTACTTTGATAACTAAGCTCATTCAATCGTAAAAGCATGTTTGAGACTGTGTTCCGGTTATATCCGTCCTCTCTTTAGAGCATTTATCTTGATAACCAAAGCCTCAGTTCGATCTTCACTCGAGACATATTTTTTCCACTCAGTTGTTTAGCGAATTTTAGCCACCAATAAACCTATATCTGG